ATTTGCTGCATATGCTGCTCCTGCATGGCCTGTATCTCTTCATAATGTCTCTCTCTTTGTCGCTCCTCTTCTTGACGACGTACTTCAGCTTGTCTCTGAGCCTCCTCTCTTCGTCGCTCCTCTTCTTGACGACGTTCTTCAGCTTGCTCCTCTCGCCGTCGCTCCTCTTCTCGACGACGTTCTTCAGCTTGTCTCTGGGCCTCCTCCTGAAGCTTTGCTAAACTTGCCAAAGCTGCCGCTAATTGCTCCATCGGATCACTAACTCCTGTAATAAGACTTTCTTCCACTTCAGTACAGTCTTCCGTATCAACTGAAGTATAACTCTCTCTGAAAATATGTAATCCTCGCAACTGTCCTCTGTAGTCGTGTCTTGGTAAGTCCCGTAGAGAATACCGCCCTTGATTCTCTCGACTGTTATCCGACATAAACAGTCACACCAGACACTATAAACTTTAGTCTCTCTCTCTTGCAGAGATACAATAGTGGGTCTTTCCTCTACAACCGTTTGAGAACTATCCCACCGCTGCCACCAAAAAATGTAACAGACGCTCCTAGCTATCTGTTCACCAAACTTATTTCTTAATCAACCCGAAACTCAACTGAGCTCAAAAACCAACTAACAAAAACAAAACTAACTCACAACTAAAACACACTAACACAACTCACAAACAACACACTTATATATATCTTATAAATGTCCAGAAGGTTCTATAACATACAAGAATACTTTACATGATTGTTCTAGAATATACTTGAATAAACACATAATACACATAATATATAATTACAATAGTACACAGAGAGTTCCGGATCCATTTAGAAACAACTTCTTACAGATTGGAGTAGTGTAAATGCAGCCTAACTTATCATTATATTGAATCCTATTTTTCCTCTTTAATGTACTGCCTCTTACTCCCTCATTAGATATGTACACTTTTGATGTCAGTGAATCTGCTGCTATGGAGACATACAATGAAGTATGTGGAGCTTATGAGTCAGTCTTTCATAGACTATCACTACCAGTTACTAAAGGTAAGGGGGAGTGTGGGGGTGGGGCTAAGGTGGGGCTTAATTAAAAGCTGTGTGTGGAAACTTTATTTTTGATGTTGACATTTTATTACCATTGTCCTTTCAAGGTTCTGCCCAGAAAAAATTAGAGGGGGTTGGAGACTAATATTGTTCCTTTTAAATTTATGTACACCATACTAGTAGACTACAATATCATGGTTTATGTATGGTTATTAATATAAATTGCATGGTTGGTCATGGTTCATTCGTTGAAGTGGTTGCCCCAACCACCATAGGCAGAACTATGTCCTTTTTCTGTTTTAATTTTACTTTTTTTGTACTTATTGTTATTTTTAATTTTATTTGGTCTCATTCTTCTTTGTCTCCTACTTGTATTTGGAGGAAGTAAAATTTGGCGAATTACTAAATTTTGGTAATTGGTGGATTTTAATTTGGCAAATTTGTGGCCATGTGCCATTGAGCATGCGTATAATGGCTCAAAATGGCGGTTTTTAATTTTGCAAATGGCTATCAAAACGCCAATTCGCCAAATTTAATTCCCTCCAAAATTTCCCGCTATACGGTAGCAAGAGTGGATAAGGAGGAGGGGAGAGTGTCTAACTGCCCTATGCTGCTAGTGATATGTGCGCGTAGAAGTCTTTCACAGTTTGTTTAGCACCTTCTTTGACCTGTTTAAACATCAACAGCCATGATAGTAAATGGGTGTGTTTTTAATAACCTATATGGTGCACCCACCCACACGTGTAGTCACGATGTTTCAAGAGGAAGAGTCAGAACTACAGCACAATCCAGATGATCATGACTGTTACAACAGATTGAGAGCATCTAATCTTGATGAGCGCCATGCCACTACACCTAAGCGCCCTAAAGCATCAAGAAAGAGGACATGGAGTCAAGAGTCAGAAGCCTCTGCTCCAGTGAACTCAGTAATACTTCGTTTTTAAGATCAACAGCAGTTAACAGCCCGTCTCAAAAGTACATGTACCACATATTCTTTCACTTCTATTATTATCCTTACTCTTGATGTGGGTCCCAAGGGACCAGACTAAAGGAGGATGATCATTGATCAAGAGCTTTTCATGTGTCAATAACAAACATGGTTTGTGTGCTTGGAAACTACAAATCTCTTCAGAGTGGTACAAAGTGACTGGTACAACAAGGTGAGGTCAAATTCTGCTTCCAAGGTCTCTGTATGGTCCAAGGGGTCCGAAACGGCCTCCAAAAGTGTACCAGATTTAAAATCCACTCAAATTTTGACTGGATTTTTGGATTTTTTTGGATTCTTGTTGGATTTTTTGGATTTTTTTCCTGGATTTTTTGATCATATAACATTAATAAATAGTATCCACCATGTTATTAAAGTTAACTAACCATTAGTTATCTTAATTAACTATTAATAATGGTTAGTTAACTATTAATAATGGTTAATTAACTATTGAAAATTACCACTCATTTAATAATAGCAGTTAATTAACTATTTTTAATGGTTAATAAATCATAGACAGTAAATCTTTGAATATTGTGACTGGATTTCCTTGGATTTTTTGGATTACTGATTGGATTTTTGGATTATTGCAAGGATTTTCTGGA